ACATAGATGTACTCTCTCATACCTAAGCCCAAATTTACCACTCACAGGTTGTCTGAGTGACCTGAGCTAATAGTGTAGATCTATGGCTTGGACCCTGGCTTCAAAGCCATAGGTCTACAGGACGGACCCTGAAAGGGTTAAATGAGAGTCAACTGTATGTTCTTCATTTACTTAGGAACAGGGAGACATGTTGCCGCTTTTCATTCACTTTGAGCTCAGTTTCAAGCCATTTTCAGTACTAAAACCAATCAAAATCATCTCTATTTCTGTAATATATCTTCCATTCTATCAAATGAGACCAAGAAATCATGAATACAACTGTAAAAAACATACAAAAAAAAAAAAAAAACACCGCAAAGTCACTGTTTTAATCCAAAATAACGGTAGCAGTTTTTTCTCTCATTATGCACTGCGTGCTGCAAGATTTGCTTTATGTGGTGCACAATTACCACATAGATGTACTTTCTCATAGCTAAGCCCAAATTTACCGCTCACAGGTTGTCTGAGTGAGCTGAGCTAATAGTGTAGATCTATGGCTTGGACCCTGGCTTCAAAGCCGTAGATCTACAGAACGGACCCTGAAAGAGTTAAATGAGGGTCAACTGTATATTCTTCATTTACTTAGGAACAGGGAGACATGTTGCCTCTTTTCATTCACTGATAGCACCTTCCAACATGTACATTCATGAGACATACAGTGGACCCCTGGTTATCGGCCGTAATCTGTTCCAGAAGGTTGGCCGATAACCGAAATGGCCGATAACCGAATTAATATTTCCCATAAGAAATAATGGAAATACAATTAACCCATTCCAAACAAAAATATTCACAAAAAATAATTTTTTAACAATTATGTAAGTATTACATACCTTTATTGAAGGCTAATGCTGGCTTCTGGAAGATACGGAGGAGGAAAGAGGGAGGAGTTAGTGTTTGGAAGGGCAATCCCCCACCATAAAGACTTTAGGCAGCAAAGCCTTCTCTGGGGTTACTTCCCTTCTCTGTCTTTTATTGCCACTAGGACCAGCTTGAGAGTCACTGGACCCCTGTCTCACAAAATAACTGTACAGAGTGCTCTGCTTCTGGCATCTCCTTAAGATTTCCCTGAAGTGGGACAGGGTTTTGTCACTAAACATGTTGCAGATATGGCTTGTTTCAGCTTTGTCAGGGTGGTGTTTCTCTACAAAAGCTTGCACCCTAGTCCACACTGCACACACCTCTTTAATCTCTGAAGAAGGCACCTTCTTCACTCCCTCTTCCTCCTCCTCTGAAGCAAGTTCCTCAGTTGCAGTCTGTTGCTGTTCAAGATGAAGCTCTTGCAGCTCTTCAGTGGTTAGCTCTTCCCTGTGGTCCTCCACCAACTCTTCCACATCCTTGCCACTCACCTCCAACCCCAGGGACTTTCCCAGTGCCACAATAGAGTCCACAGGGTCGGCAGGGTCAGGGTCAGCCTCAAACCCTTCAAAATCCCTCTCTTGGACACAATCTGGCCACAGTTTTCTTCAAGCAGAGTTCAAAGTCCTGGAAGTCACTCCCTCCCAAGCCCTACCTATAAGGCTTATGCAATGGAGGATAGTGAAGTGATTCCTCCAGAACTGTCTTAGGGTCAACTGAGTGTCCGAGGTCACTTCAAAGCACTTTTGAAACACTGCTTTTGTGTAGAGTTTTTTCGAGTTAGAAATGACCTGCTCCTTAGAAATGACCACTCCTCTCCTCCATGGGCTGGAGGAGAGGAGTGGTGTTAAGAGGCAAGAACTTGGTCTTGCAAGTCTGAAGGATGTGCAGGAGCATTGTCCAGTACCAGGAGGCACTTGAGTGGCAATTTCTTTTTGAGGAGGTATTTTTTCACACTTGGGCCAAACACATCATTAATCCACACTTTGAAAATTTGCCTTGTGACCCATGCCTTATAATTAGCTTTCCACATCACACACAATCTGTTCTTCATGACACTGTTTTTCTTGAACACTCTGGGATTTTCTGAGTGATACATGAGTACAGGCTTCACTTTGAAATCCCCACTAGCATTACCACACAACAAAAGAGTAAGCCTGTCTTTCATAGGCTTGTGTCCTGGCAGTGCCTTTTCCTCCAGGGTAATGTAGGTCCTGTTCAGCATTTTCTTCCAAAACAGGCCTGTTTCGTCACAACTGAGCACTTGTTGGGGTTCGAATCCTTCAGCCTTTACATAGTCCTGGAATTTGTGAACATACTTTTCAGCTGCACATTTGTCAGAACTTGCAGCCTCACCATGCCTTACAACACTGTGTATGCCAATATGCTTCTTAAATCTATCAAACCATCCTTTGTTGGCCCTAAATTCACAAACTGCAGCACTCGTTCCAGGCATTTTCTTTGCAAGATCCTCAAGCAACTCCTTTGCCTTCTCACTAATAGTAAACTCCACAACACTGTCTCCCACTAATTCTTTTTCCTTAATCCACATTAATAATAACTTTTCCATCTCTTCCATTATTGGTGGCCTTTGTTTAGTTAGAAATGTTACTCCTTTTGCAACATTAGCATCTTTGATTTGTTCTTTCTTTGCCAGGATGGGTGTAATTGTTGATTTATTCTTGCTGTACATCCTGGCAAGTTTCACCACCTTCATACCACTCTCAAACTTTTCTATCACTTCATGCTTAAATTCCATGGTGTTTCTCACTTTCTTTACTACAGGAACTTTACTTGGAACTTTCTTTGGAGCCATCTTTACTTATTTCACAGTTGCACTGCAAGAAAAACCACTAAAAACAATGGTAAACAAGCAAAACGTTTGGATGTATGAGCAGAAACTTCCTCAGCCACCGAGAGACAAAGCCAAACTGAAGCGCAAGCTACCCCAGCCGGCGAATGGACGCGTCCAAAATAGCCGATAACCGAGCGAACAGCCAATAACCGGGTGCCGAAAAACCCGCCGATAACCAAACCAGCTGATAACCGGGGGTCCACTGTATGTTCAACACTTGGGTAACTTTATTGTCGGGACATTTAACTATTCACACAGAGACTAAATGCTGGAAGACATGAAGAAGTACATAATCTGAGGTACTATTCAGTCCCTCAGCCTTGATAAAGCAAGTGTTGTACTCATGTCTTTATCATCTACTTGTTGGTTTTTGCATACTATTGTATACCAATAATATTAATCCTTTCAATGTCGGTCCCATAGTATTATGGCTTGCAAGCCAGTGTTGGTTCTGTAATAGTATGGCAAAATTCTAGTGGCTTCCAATCTTGCAGGAGAAAACTGGTAGGTTTACATATGAGAGAATGGATCTGAGTGGTCAGTGTGCACTGCATAAAAAAAAATCCTGCAGCATGCAGTGCATAATGAGAAAAACTAACTCTATGTTTTTCGTTTAAAACAGCAACTTTGCAGTGTATTTTCATATGGTATTTATGGCTGTATTTTCATTTTCTTGATCTCATTTGATAGAATGGAAGATACATTACAGAACTTGCAATGATTCTGAATAGTTTATGGGCGAAAAGTACCTTGAAATTGAGCTCAAAGTAGCAGTAATGTTTGAGTTTTGCCGATGTTCAGGAGTAAACAAATCACGTCATGCGTCCAATACACGTCAATTGGAGGGTCTAATATACTTTGACAAATGCACAGATATTATTTATACCATTTTTACAATAATGTAGTAGTCTGCATAACAGTAAATCTTCTATTTTTTGTGTGAATAAAAATTCAAAACTGAAAGCAAGTGTATTATAGGAGGGGCCTGGAGACGTGGCTAATGAACAGACAATGTTACTTTAATGCTAAGAATGTTTGCATTGTTAATTCTGGACCCTATTTTGAAAGTGGCCTTCCTTGAATTGTGTGTGAAATTTGTTAAATTACCAATTTCTGGTCACTTTACTAGGTAGTTGAAATCAATAAATAGGCAGTTTCTTGTACTCATTCGATAGAACAAAAAGAGTTCTAGCGAAATAGCTATGAGTTTGGTTGACTGGAATAATGGAATTGGCTGAAAATAGGTCTCAAAGTGGGCAAAATTGCCAATGAATAAATATCACCGAGACCGCTAACTTCACAAGGGCATAATTCCATAAGTTTTCCATCAAATTTCATATATTTTGTGTCATTACCATTGGGAAAAGATTCTCTATCATTTCACAAGAAAAAATAATTTTTTTTTTAAATTCTTCAACACTGAGAGCAAGTTTGTGAGCAGGGGTCTCAACAATGAAAGGGTTAAAATCATGTATACATACGTACATGTATGTGCTGATTCTATAAATCATTTCTAATAAAAATGAATTATTTATAAGAAAACTGATGTCTAGATGAGCTTATTCTTTTAATGAGCACAAGGGGAATGCTTTCTGTAGTGAAAATGAATAATGTACTATCAGTTAAAAGAGAATAACGCATTTCTAAAAAATATTCGTTATTATTTATTAAAATACGTATAATAATTTTTTTTTTTTTTTTTATAAATTTTTTTTGACTGCAAACATATTATCAACAAATTCTCTCATCAGCAAAAAAACTGCAGCACCCAAGTGGATGGAAGATAAATTTGCGCATCAAGTTAGAGAATGAGTAGTTTATTTTTACTCTGGATAAGAGCATGGTCAGTTAAGAGAGCTTCTACTGTACCCAGAAAAGCATTTCTTATGCATTAGTAACCACAATATAGGATAATAATTCATAAATGACTACATTAATATATTTATCAATTTTATGCAAAGCAGATCCATCCTTGTCAATGCATATGTTAAAATCCTTGCTCTATAATGATCTAAGTGCCGCACCTCATAGGAATGCTGCCAAAAGCTCGCTTATTCAAGATATTACATAACACTCAAGCTACAAGATTCATATTTACTTAAAACATATTCTGATTAAATGAAGTTGCAATGGACTCAAATACTAATTACTGTACCTACTGTTAGTACTCTCAGATGACTCGCAAGGAGTAATACTATAAAGGCAGAAAGTGGGATACTGCAAAAGTATGTGAAAGAAGCAACTATGGTAC